GTTTAATTTTTTTTTAATTTTTAGCAAATAACTAATGCAAAATTGTAAATAAAGTCGAAAAAAATTTTTTTTTTCATCTTAATGAAGATTAGGCAATATTCAGAAACAATATGTGCAATTGTTCCTTTAATTCTTTTGCAAAATTTTGATCAAACGGTCCCAGAAAACGGTTAGATGGATCGATTTCAAAATTAGCAAGGCTGTGAGGGATACTTTGAGCTGTAAAAACACCTAAAAACATTAGTTGCCACATTAGTATTAGTAAATACGCGGTAGATTTACTAAAACAACGCAAATACTTGCATTTTTCTCTTTTTTTAAATCACTGTTACAGGTAAAAAAAATATTTTACAAAAAATCATAAGAGGATCTCATAAGACATTTATTCCAGTTTTTGACACTACCCTTATATTCTCTGTGTGGCCATTGGTTGTTGAGATATCGATGATCAAAGACAAGAGGATCCTTTTTCATTTAAAGTCAGATATCTCAGAGACAAAAGAGAATATGAAAAATGCGTATTAAAGGTAAACAAACATGCTAACGGGGGTATGCAATGACTTAACTAAAAAAAAAATTCTCCACGTTCGTGGACCAAAAACGAAAACATAAAAATTTAGATTTTTTTCTCGCGCTATTACTTAGAATTGCGTGATAACCATAGCACAGAAAAAATATTTGCCAAAAGATCTCAAAACTAGAAACTTAAGGCTTCCAAATAGTTTTTTTTTTTTTAATCTAGATACAACCATTTTTCGATGAGTTACAGAGTTTCAAAAAACACCAAAGAATTTAGGAATTTTTTTTGAGATTAAGTATTTTAAGAAAAGAATAATTTATAACAACTACAAGTAATGTTACTAATCGAAAATGTCAATCAATATAAATGCAAGTATTTGTTTAATAGCGTAGTTAAAAACAGGTCTAGCAGGTACTGAGGCAGTGTTTGTATAAACGTACCACCCGAGATAAAGACCAAAGATGTTTACGCGCTGAAAAAGGAATTCCGTATTTCATTTCCTGTAAAGTTTTCAAATGAAAATAATTTGTGTTAAAAAATTGAAAAATTTTAGCGGACATTTTAGTTAATTTAATTTTAAATTATAACCCCCTTACCCGCCAACTCCTCCACGCCGAGGCTATAACCATTTGACAACGCCTCAACTTCTGGTACTTCCTCTTCTGATTGAACCCCCTCCACGACTTTTGTATCAAAAGTGCCAAATCGTGCAATCTGACTCTTCTAAAATCCTCCAACTCGAATACGGTGCGAGGACTCCTCACGAACAATTTATTTCGACCAAACGTAAATTCCGCACTTGGGATTGGCAGTGATCGTAAAAGCACTGAAACGCCCTCTATCGGAGACCCACGCCATCTCGGCCAGGTATTCCCACAAATCATCTTATACCGACAAAGAAACTGAGGATATGCTAAACGATAACAGTATCCCGAACGCCAGATCTGCACCGTGGAAATCAAACCCAAATAACGCACCTTAAAGCATTAATTAATATTAATCTTGAGTCAAATTATACAAACCTGATGTTGGATGAGCGCCATTTCTAAAATCCGGGGTTGTTTCATTTCGTTCGGCTTCAAGCACCGGATATAATGAATCTGACGCGCATTTAAGCTTTTCAAAAGGGAATTTAAAGAAACTCGCAACTGGACTGATTTAGAAACTGGTCGTTTGAAACTGCAACGTTTGGGGTTGCCCTCGGGAAATAACGACTTCATTAAAGGGTGATCGAAACGAAACATAGCTCGAGACACTTCCTTAGGCAACGAATCACGATTTTTTTCAAGAAACTCGTGCACATTGTAGGTGACAGCACCAGCATAATGACGTATCCTATTGTAAAATAAAATTACTCCGATTCGATTTTGTTTTTCAACTTACTGAAAACTATATTGTGGCAGTGTGGCATCGGCTGCAAGACAATACGAATGACCAGCACAACACTGTTCGACTCTATTTAGATAACAAGAGTCGCCCTGAACGTGCGGTTCCTCAAGTAATGACAAAACACCATGACTTTCATGCTCCAACAATTGACAAATTACTCTACAAAATTCATTTATAAATTTTTTTAACCTAATACTAGACTACGGAGAACTACATAGTAGGAGACGAAACGAGATACAAAATTGTTTGATTTTTTGGACCCAAAAAAAGTAGTACGGCGGAGTAAAAATGGGGGCGCTTAGAGCGTTTTACCGTCTCAGTTTCAAATCGTTTTAAATTAATTTAAATTCAACCAATGCACTAATTGCTTGGAAAAACATGCAAAAATGTTGAGCTTTACATTCTTAATAAGCTGTGGAAAACGAACGACTAAATTTTTCACGAGAAATATAAGAAAAAAAATATTTAAAATTTAAAATCTGTGCTCCGTTTCATGTTTTTCAAAATGCTGCGAATACGGTTGAAGATACAAGAAAGAAAGTTGTAGAGAATAAAATTTTGTAGTAAAAACTTAGGCCTCAAAGACGCTCAACCGACGGATTCGTTTCATTTTTACTGGTGATTCAGGGCCAGAGAAACACTTTAAAGAAACCGTTGAAGATAGAAATATGGTCTCGGGGACTTTTTTCTAGCAAATTTTATTCTCTACAATTTTGTTTCTCACACTTTTTTTGTATCTTTAACCGTATTCGCAGCGTTCATAAAAAAATTTGGCGGAACGCAAACTGATAATTGTTTGTCATTTATTTTTAATACGGTTTTCGATATTTTTGAGAACGCTGCGAATACAGTTGAAGATACAAAAAAGTGTAGGGAACAAAGTTGTAGAGAATTAAATTTCCTACAAAAAAGTCCGTGAGACCATATCTCTATCTTCAACCGTTGAGATTTAAATTATTTTTTTGTCTCTTAACCACCGGTAAAAATGACACCTATTTGTCACTTCAGCGACTTTAGGACCTAAACCATTGGACTTTTTTGTAGAAAATTTTATTCTCTACAACTTTCTTTCTTATATTTTTCTTGTATCTTTAACTGTATTCGCAACATTTTCAAAAAAATGAAACGGGGCGCAAAACTGCTAAATGTTTGAAATTTTTTTAAATATAGTTTTCAATAAAATTTTTGCATTACTTTTATCTCTTGTTATTGAGAATTTAATGCTCTATCTGTCTATATTTTTTTGCGTTTTGCTCACCGCTATGTAAATATAGCCATTTTTTTATTTCATTGCTCTTAAAACTTAAAACGGGAAAGGAACAACGCTATCATCGTGTCGTATCCTAGTCTTTAGGTATCCGTATACTAGACTTACATGTTGTTAAAATATTCGATTTTTGACCACTCTAATCCCTCCCTGATTATTTCTTCTTGTTCTTCTTTCAACGTTATATTCGTAATGAACTGATGCAACTTTTCGTTACAATAATTAATGATGAGTTGCTCGAATGAATTTTTCTCAAATACTTCAAACCCGTACAAGTCTAACACGCCCAAGACTTTTCGTTTACCCAACCTCTGGCCCTACAATACAATATTTGTAACATCCTCTACTAGTGTAAGTGGGGGTACCTTAATTATTTCGTTTATTTTGTTAATCAGCCATGTAAAAAGACGGCTGTACAAAGTTTTGCATAAAATATCCCTGATTTTTGACGCTTCGTACGCGTTGAGGTCTGCTAAGATTCCGTCTTCGATTTGTCGACTCGTTAAGGCTCTCTGAAGCCATCTGTGCTCGGCACCCAGCAATTCGCAGATTTCGAATAATTCTAAAATTATTTTTTTGGGTTAAAAACGAAACAAAAGTGTTGAATTTTTACCGTATTCGTTACTGATTGCGCAACCCTCAGTACCATCTATGTTATTACAAGGCACAAATTGTAAATTGCCTAATTTTAACACAATTGCTATAACTTGAAATATATCGATAATGTCTTCAACGTTAAAACCTAACACTTCCAATGCACTCTTCGTGTAAACAAATAACTTTTTATCTTCATCGTCGGTTAAAGTAGGTTGATTATTTACAGTTTGTAAAATGTTGTAATGTTCGACATTGCGTTGAAGTTTTAGGCATTCTTAAAATAAAGAATATTTTGAATCAAGTTGGTATTTGAAAAAAAAGCTTACTTAATAAATGAATATCAGCACCAGAAAGTAATTGATAAAAAATATGAAAATTACGATCACCTGGCGATAAACACGTAACTCTGGCCTAAAAAATGTACCATATTATTGAGAATAAAGTCACATTGGCGTACCTTATCCAAAAAATCTTGTAAGCATTACAAAAATGATTATTAAAAAAATTAGACAAAAGCAAAGTAAAATCTACTTACAGTGGGTCAAGTGGCCCCCAATCGGATCCCCCTTGTAGTCAAACTCAATGTCCAAAAACTTCCCCTACAAATATGTATTATTTCGATAAATTACAATTGACTAAATCTTACAAATCGCGATGCATTATCATTTTTTATAGTTCTAGCATTGCCAAAAGCTTCCAATAAAGTGTTAGCTTGTACTAAGCGGTCTTTCATAAGTTTAACTTCAGAAATATCACCAGAAACTAAAACTAAAAATTGTAAAACGATTCTTGCTGCTTCCGTTTTTCCTGAGCCACTTTCTCCTAATAAGAAAATGTTTCATTTATACAATCATGAAAACAGTGATAAAAACCTGTGACGACAATACACTGGTCCTCATTTCTGTCATTTAACCATCTATATGCAGATCCAGCAATTGCGTATCTACAATTTTTATAAATTTATAAAAAAATAATTAAAAGAGTTAAGGAGTACATGTGAGGGGGCAGCTGAAATGGTCCCCTTTTAACGTAAGTTTCTACAAGATCAGTCGAGTATAAAGCTAATTTTTTGTAAGGGTTAACGGAGACAAGCACGTTTCCAATGTATGTGTAGATATGGTCTCTCTTGAACCTTTGTTGTAAATTAGCAATAAATGTATCTTCTGACAATGGCTCAAGAAGTACAGAATCCCAAACTCCTACTTCCTGCTCCAAGTTGAGCATCGCACCGCCCCTTGAAGTACTGCCGCCAGCGCGGCATCTAGTCCTTCCACTTCTTTTCACTGTGCCCCAAATTCAAACTAATTTCAAGCAAATTTTAAATGACTGCGATGTAACTGGTGGAAAAAACGGTTCGGTCCATTTTATAATTATCGCCGTAATTAGAAAATTCGTTCCATTTTAATTAAGTTAAAAATTATCCAATAAAACTATTCACTTGACAGGTCGAGTTCTGCCATTAATATGTCAGGGATGTCAGCTGTCGCCTGTCAAGAGGGCACTACAAAAAACGAGCGCGAATTTTAAAAAAACTGTAAAATATTTAATTTTTGCTGGGACACCGTAAACAACTTGTCCAACACCAATGGTATTTTTTTTTCAAAATTAGATCAACCCAAGTTTAATACCGTTTTCAATTGAACTAAATTTAGTAGCAATGCTAAAATCAAATAGACAATTAAAATAATATAAAATTTATCTTTAAACAAAATTGTTGACACCAATTACATCATACACAACGCCAGAAAATAATTCTTTGCCGCTTTGGTTTCATAGTGCATTACGTTTCATATTCATTGTACATTGCATATAATTATTAGAAAATCTGTTCCATTTTAATTAAATTTAAAGATGATAGCCCGTTATATGGTATTGTTAAAAAAGTTACAGAGTAGACCTCATTATCTAATAAAACTACAAAAAATTATTAGCGCAAAATTTTAAAAACTCACCCCCTTATCGAAATAATAAAAAAAATCGAAATGTATATTTAATTTCTTTTTGTTTGTACATAAAATAATAAATAAAGTAACAAAATAATAAATACTCCGAATAATGAACACTCTAGGTAAAAATGGCAGGAAAGTTTTTCTACACATAACTTTCACTCTGACTTGAATATGCTAAAAATGAATCAAGCAATTTCGGCTCCACTAACTCTTGAGCGTCCTCAACACTGATAACATCCCTTCCGCAAGCATCCGCTATCTTCCTCAAAGTAGCCTAAAACCAACTGTTAAAACTTGAAACGTTCCTGGTAGTCTGAACTTACCAATGTTGCGACAAGAACTGCATCATTACAAAACCTCTCATTCTTTTCCCTACACATCCTGACTAGTTTCTCGACACCCCCAAGTTCGACAACTTGAGCGGCAGCCTCCTTCTCGCTACAAAGTCTTGACAAGGCTATGATAGCCTTTTGTTGTAACCTTTTCTCAACATCTTCGCCAACACTTCCAGTTCTCAAACAACACAACAAAGCTGGGATTGTTTTCAACTTTAACAATTGTTGTCTTGCCGTTTGCAAAGACGTCATGTTGGCCAGTAAGGTTGCCACTTGTTCAAGAAGATAGATCGAAGCGCAAGGCCCTCGTCTATTCACTGCTTCCAAGAGTAGTTCAATAGTGTTCAAATGTAAGACATATTTGATACATTTGTTGTCCATTGTGGATAAGTTGGCAAGAGCTGCAGTGCACAAAAGGAGGTTTTGGCAACATTTAGTTGTCGATAAAAATTTAGTCAAAGACTTGACAAGCTTCCGGGAGTAGTCCTGCAGGCCCTTAATGCAGTGGTTATCCTCGATCCACGGAGCAGTAACTTGGGCCAAAAGGGCCACAGCTTCGGAACGTTCAGGCTCAGGTCGAGAAGGCTCCTCACCAAGAGTGTCACTAACAATTTGAATTCCGGAAAACCGTTCAAATTGTCGAACGGCGTAAGCGGTGGAACACATAGTTGAGAGAGCACGTAGAAGGAGACTCCTCATAGAGGAACCTTCGCATTTTTCGCACAGTATCAAAAGAATTGGAATTATATCATTTTTGGTAAAAATTTCAATCAAATGATCATTTCTTAAGCTTAAAGATGTTATTCCAGTAATGGTGGCCCGTAAGTCAAGTTCGGAACATGGATTTTCTAACTTGTCAACAAGTCGTTTGATTTCTTTGACCAAAATAGTGTGACACACGGTTTCCCATTGGGTGAACAATTGGGAAACTAGTGTTAAAAAGTCTTCGTTTGTTTTCCTTATTGCGTCATACTGTTTTAATAATTTTGGAGTCACTTCTGAGTAAGTCTTGATGAAGTCGATGATGTTGCCGGCAAGGCTTTGGGCTAAGGGCCCCACGTGTTTCTTCTCACTAAAATTATATTTTACTGTTTGGTCCTGAATGAAATGATAGATTACCTACCTGTTCAGATTTTTATATTCACGTTGAATGCATTCCGAGTGAGCTAAAACTTTCTTGATACTTGAAATAGTATAAGTGGCCATGTTGGCCACCTTTTGGTGCAGTTCCCCAGCTATGGATTTAGATTGGAGGGTTGTCATACACTCCTGTTCGTAGTGATGTTTTATTTCCGTCATCCAAGTTTGTACAGCGTCATTGTCAAGTGGTTCTCTCCTTCTTCAATTCAAAAATAAATAACTATCGCATTAAAGTGCAAATACTTACTTTTCTTGCTGCTGGTATTTTAAATACAAATTAAGCGGGACTTTATTCCTCGTCTGTCTCATTTTTGGCGTTGAAGTGTGTTTAGGTGATTCCAAAGCACCATTGAAAAGACATTCCAATTCACTTTCGCAATCACTGGACAAGGAATTATTTCCATTAAAAGTCTCCTCCTCGTCTGTAATCTTTTCCAAAACGGCAGGAGCTGACCGGTTCAAGACCCCATAACTCCGTCCATGCAACTCTTCACTGAAACTTCGAACTTTTCTCGGTGATAAACACGCTACCTCCTTTGAATACTGATTATTAACCACGTCCTTCACGCATCTTTTGTCTTTCGTATTGAATAAATTCCGGCTAACTCTCGGCGAGTTCTTGGTGTAAAGTGGTGATTGTTTGATGCTCTTATCGGGGGTTGTCTTTTCTTGATAATTCGACGATAAATTCCCGGCTTTGTTGCTATCCAAATCTTTGGAAATCTGTTCAGCCACATTTTTGGGAATTGGTGGTGAGGTTTCAGTATCAGAAAAACCGGAATCTTGGCTTCCGGGACTTCCGGAAATTTCACGCCATTCGAGACTTTCGCTAGCCCACCAAACTTTACTGGGGCTCCGTTTGAAATCACTCATGGCTCTGAAAAATCAGGACTTCATCAGGTAACTTAATTAGGGGAGAAATCGATGAGTTCTCAGGATGTTTCACCCCTCGGAAATTATGACCAGGTGTAACTACAATACCGGTAAGGGTACCCGCTTTTGTCACAAGACTTGCAACGGCTTATTTGGAGCAAGTTTATTACAAATGTTACTTAACAAATTGCGGAACTTTGTCGATTTGCGATTTACCGTAATTATTTGTTACTGTGTTTTGATTTTGTCGAGTAACAGTAAGTCCTTGATAAATTTTATCAATTCGCATATTTCAGCTCATATTTCTTGTTATTAATGTTGTAACATGTTTGCACATGTTTTATCAATGTGAAACAATCTTGAAATACACGCCTCGATGATACTTCCGCAGTTTTATAAGAATTGGTAATTCGCAGATTTTTATCTGAATTAAAGAGTTTGAATAAAATATTATAGTGGGATATGGGAGTATGGGAGTTCCGACACTAAGCGATTAGGGGGAATATGACCGTTGTAAGCAGCTGCAAGTGAGATTGAAAGCTTCCCATTGTGATTTTTCTTCGCGTTTTGATACACTTCGATTTTCATTCTAGAAAATTAATAGAGTAAGAAACTCATTTCTTATAGACGTCGTGGTTTCTTTTGCTACTTTTAAATTAATTCTAAAATTGATCTTTCGAGTTCAACGTTCGTAATTCTCATTAGCTGGATAATCGTTCGAAATGAAGAATACCATGATGACTCTTGTAAATATTTGTCGTGATAACGATTATGCAACTATTAAATCTTTTTAATAAAGGTGTGTTTATGACTTACTCGATAATTAAACAAAATATTTTTTTTTCCACCGCTATTTTGCATTGACTAATTAAACCGCAGATTGACACGTGTCCGTTAACTTGTATTGTGTTTATTTTGGTATGGTAGGCAAATAAATATTTGACAGGAGCTCACAATCAACATTTCTTATGTCTGAATAATTTAAGTCTGTAATTACAAAATCATCGAATTGTAACAAGATGTGGAAGCACGTGCCATTATTTAAATTGCACCCTCTACCACGCTTCTGACCGGAAGGATGTCTATACTTTTTTATACGCACTATAACTTTACCAGCTATGGGGCTTCCTGACCCATATGGTTCGTGAATTTCGAGGAAAATCTGATTTTTAACGGTTTAGAGACCATTATTGTAATTAAAAACTTAAAAAGGAAGTCGTTTAAACTTAATCTGGCCACGCATCATATACCCAATTTTTTCTATAACAAAAAATATTTTTTAATTGATTTAGTGAAGAAAGATTTTGTAACCAAAATTAAATTCAATTCCTCCAATTATAAAGTCGAATTTATAAAATTGGGTAAATCCATAAGTTGAGGTTCTGAACGCCCAACAACAAACCCTTTCATTTAAATAATTTACCAAATTTTGCGTTCCAAAATTCAGACGGGGTGGCATATGGGTAGATGTTAAATAAAAGACAGCTGCAACCACCACATGTGAGGGTGCCTCTTTGCAGTCTCGTGCCATGCACGTGGCACCTGGTCACTTTATTTTTCCTCTTTCCGCAAAGCTGCCACTGAATTATGTTTGTAATGAAATTTTCATTAAAAAGCTATTTTTTTGCAGAGATTACAGGAAAATGGTCATTTCAGCATTGCTTCTGTTTTACACGACTATCATGTTTCAAGTTAGATTGTTTATAAAATTTCACACGACATTGAATTTATTTTTAAGAATAAATTAACATCGGAAATTACATAATCTGAAAACGTACAAGTCGCAATTTCAACTTGTTAACCACCAATCAAGTGTAATAATTGTTTTGCCTGTCTAATAAACTATTTGAACTTCCTCTTATCTTAATCCATTTAAATATTCAAATCTAATTAAGTAATCCTGGCTGATCAAGAACATAAAATGAAATTATAGCCTCATTGAACTTAATAATGAAAAATCAGTGGATTAGAAATTGTCACTTATATAACCAATCGGATGGATTTCGACCATGAACCTTCTTTTTGTTCTTTTGTAACTCAACCATCGTGTATTGCAACAGTTGTTATAATTTATGCAAGTGTAAACATTTCAGGGTTTAACATTTCAGTCATTTGATATTAGAAAAATTAATAGTTTTAATGAAAAATAGGACAACATAGTGATATTCAAATTGCTTTATTACAGGTAACAGCAGGAAAATCTTTTGACTCGTCTATTGCTGAATGTAATTCGAAGAATTTGCTGATGATGATGAAGAAATGTATTATCACTTCAAGTGGCGATCTGGATTATTCAAAGCTAATTTAAGCTCAAGTGCCGTAATATTCTAATCTAAAATTAAAAATAATGCTTGATTATTTCCGAGAGCACGTATTTAAAATACCCACACGTAAATATCTTCCTTTATTGTTTTAACATTCTAATACTACTCTAGTGGGGCAGGCATATTATACAAATCAAATTGAAGTTATATAATATAATCCAAAAATAATTATTATTATAGAGAAAATTACTCATCTGCAGGTACCCTCATGATGAAAATATCATTTATATTGCTGATAAGATTTTTGTTTTTATATACCCTTCTATCTAGGAATGTTGAAATCAATTTATCGATTTATAAATAATGATAAAATAAATTTTCAATGTTGACACAGGAGAAAAATACCATTAAAAAGTTTTCCCTTGGTTTATTAACCCTAATCCTTTTTTTTTTCATCAAATCTGGTCAAACACAAGTAAATCAGTTCTTTCTGTATTTTTCAAGTGGACTTACATCTAGATGATAAGTAATAAACCACTTATTACATACGACCAAACAAACTACTATAATAACCTACATAATTTTCATTCTAATAAAAAAAATCTTTTATTCCATTGAGTGTTACCACAAGCACGAAATATTTTGCGAATGAGCAAATAAAAATGTTATAATTGGTTTTAAATCACCCGAACGTGATAGAGTACCTCCAAGGCCACACTTGAAGACCTCAAAACTTTTCTAAAATCATTAACGTCAAGAAGCGTTACTGTTATACTCTTTTAATTGATGACGGTAATTAAGTGATTATAATTTTATGACAGAAATGTCCACAAAACTGGTTTTGGGAGACAAGAGATTTTTGCAGAACAAGTCAATCATGAGTAAGATGTAAAAAATGGTTGAACAATTCTACAGTACGACCTTTCAATGACGACTTTACGCGGAAATCGAAATGACTCGTCTCGCGTTGATTCATTATAACAATGCGAAGAAAAATTAAGAAAAGCTGTGCGTGCTTGATTACAAAACAAAACAAATCGGGTAGTAGTCTTTGTGCAAAAACATGTAAAACCACTTTCGAAAGATTGATGGTAAGAGTACCAATTTTTTGCAAATGAGAGTAACAAAATTAGGCAATTAATATTCATGTAATGTATAATTACCCAAGATAAACTACCGTACGAAAAAAGAAATTAGTGAAAGCAATACAATAACAAATTTCTTTGAAGTAGCCACCATAAAATTATGAATTAGTATGTAATATAATAAACGTGCGAGATGAATCTAAATTTTTCATTCTTCAAAAAGAATAAAACGGAACCAAACAGAAAAAAAATAACACGGCACTCACGTTTCTTGCAATAATCCCAACCTCACTGTCGGCTTTTCAAAACATTTCATTTATTATTATGCACAACACAATTTTTGTTTGTGTAACTCGAAGCACGTTCAAATTTGTATTCGAGGCATCTGTATTAAACTCGCGCGTTGCTTTAACAATTTTGGTGGGGCTAAAAGTGGGGATGATCCGTGCACTCTGGTTGGTGCAAAAGCTTAATCCTGAAATTCAAACGAACTGAAACTTTTACTCGATAGGGGGTTGCAACCCCATTTATGGGGGTTTTACCACCGTCTAGACGGGATGAGTTAAGGGGCCACTTTCTAAGCCTTCAGGTAGATCAGTATTATTAATTGCAGCATGCGGTTTATTACTGATATTACTGATTTAGATGGAAAATATGCTGTGGGAAAGATACAAAATCATGAATCATGTAATGATAAATAGGTGAGGTAATAAGTAATTGCAATTTGTTTACTTTTTATATCGTGCAAAATGTTTATGCAAGGCGTAAGTGCAAAAGTTTTTCCATAAGTAGCCCAAATGATAAAAAAGGTGTTATCATGATTTTTTAAATTTTATAATTCAAATAGAAAATAGGACAGGCAACCAACAATACACCTTCACGCTGGAGATTAATATCTTCCCAATCAATGGCTTTTAAAACTTTCAAAAATCAATTATGCAGCTTTAAAGATAATCTTTATAACTAAGATAAACGTTTAGAATAATTTTTTAAACTAATCCACATATCAGACAAAAAAATATCTTGAGAGATAAAATCCATTTCCATGTACAGTTTTTCGACTTGAACGCCCATCAAGTTGTTTAATTTTGAATAAATATTTTCATCGGTGGTTCTGTTAAGCCCCACGTGACTTTCAGATGCTTCTCGGCCTGATCTAATTTTGGCGAGTGCCTACTAACGTCGAGGCGCTGTCGACGTCTTCTAATTCAGCGTTCTGTTCTGTAGTGTTTACTGTACAACTTTATTAATGGAAAAAGAACGATTAGTATTGTAGATTTCAGCCGTTGTTGCAAAAATCTAGCTGAGATAATAAAGGTAATTGTAAAAATTTTCATGTTTTTGTTTTATTTTTGTCATGAGTAAGTTGCACGCCCATAAATTTCGTGTTTTAATTTTTTTTAATAAATTATTATTATATTAAATTGCGCACAAGTTCGGTTCAAAATTGGGCTCTAGGATTTTAAGAACCAAGGTCTGAGCAGGTATATAAAGATAAAGTTCGTGCTCTTGATAGTTGCTCGTATTTTTAGTTCAGGACAATGATTGGCACTGTTTATTTCTTATTTTTGTCGTAGATTACCGATTTTGGATTTATTACAAGTAATGATTTCTTGTTTACAGATTCGAAAATGATTCGCGTTGACGAAAATGATCCGGTTGGCGGTAAGTACATATTTTTGTAAATCAAACGCCAAACACCTTCTGCAAATAAATTAAATTTCTCGAATTTTTAACGCTTCGTAAATAATCTCAGCGAAAATATACCAAGGCAGGCGGAACTCGATTATTTCGAAGCGATAATATACCAATTTGCTAAGGAATGTGAGGTATAATTCTAAACAAAATAATTCATACTGCTCATAAAAATTTCGCAGGTTTTTATAAATAAAATTTTTATTTTTGTTTCAAGCTCAAAAACGACCAAATTTCCTTTCTTTTAAAAAAATGTTCATTTTCATTATACATGACAAGGTCATGGCTCACGGCTCAAAAATATAATTTAAGTACTCACAAAAAATTTCAATTCTTTCGGTTAACACATATTTCACCTCAGATTAACAAACTAGAATCTGCCAACACATAAATTTGTAGTTTGTTTAGTAAACAGACAACCTTCAGAAAGCATCAAAGGAAAAAATTGTTTGGCGACGCAAAATTCCAATTTTAGGGCAGTAGACTAAAATCTAGGGCACTATGTCCCCATAAACCATCCATAAAGTCAACATACCAAAGTTTTACTAATAGCCACGAAAAGTAATTGTTTTGGTTTCTTGATAACACAAAATTCGGTTCAGGCACGCAGCCAACTGGCGTCTCTTCAATTTCGAAATGCTTACACAATCTCATTCACAGCAATTATATTTCAATCACTTTGCAGAAGTTCAACTCAGTTTTCCATACAGAAATGTACAAATACAAAGAGGTGTTGATCCAAAGGAATTATACGAATTAGAATCGGAGATTGGACGGTACCTATTCAAAATTTAATTATCCCGACAATTTTATCTGAAAGACATTTTCCAGTGGAAAATTCGGAACTGTTTACAAATGTCGCGAAAAAGCCACCGGCTTATCCCTAGCCGCGAAATTTATCGCCGTTCCCAAGAAAGAAGATCGCAGAAATGTAGAACGAGAAGTAGACATAATGAAGACATTGCAACATCCGCGACTCATTCAACTTTATGATGCTTTCGAAAACGGGAAAGTCATGTGTGTTATTTTAGAATTGTAAGTCTTAAAAAAACAAAATTTTCTTTTAAACACATTTTAATAGGATCGAAGGAGGAGAACTATTTGAAAGAGTCATCGATGATGATTTTGTTTTAACTGAGAAAAGTTGCACGGTTTTCATGCGACAAATCTGCGAAGGGGTCGATTTTATCCATAAACAGAGAATCCTACATTTAGACATGAAACCCGAAAACATTCTTTGTCTCACAAGAACAGGCAACCGAATCAAAATTATTGATTTTGGATTAGCTAGACGTTTTGATCCTGATAAAAAACTTCAAGTTTTATTTGGCACTCCTGAATTCGTAGCACCCGAAGTTGTAAATTTTGACCAAATAGGTTTTGGGACCGACATGTGGTCTGTTGGCGTCATTTGTTACGTTTTGTGAGTACGATTTTTTTAAAGTTTTTGTTCTAAATTATTTTTTCAGACTATCAGGTCTCTCTCCTTTTATGGGGGCCACAGACGTTGAAACCATGGCAAATGTAACAATTGCAAAATATGATTTTGATGATGAAGCTTTCCAGGAAATTTCCGATACTGCGAAGGACTTTATCCAAAAACTCCTCAAAAAAGATCTCAAGTAAGTGATTTTGCCTGGGGAAAGCATGCCAAAAACCCAAATTAAATAACTAACTGGGATTGCATGCTTTTGCCCCTATTAATCACACTAACACCTTCTTTGTCCTTGCAGTCAAAGAATGTCAGCGGAAGAATGCTTGAACCATGAGTGGTTGAAACGAAAAAAGACTGTAGTACCAAGGTCCTCATCCATGGATGTTACCAAAGACAATTTAAGACAATTTGTCGAACGCTGGAACGAACATCCAAATTCCCCTTACGTTTTTGAAGTGACTTCACAACTTATAGCCCCCACGTGTACTGGAGGACTTCACTTATCCGATTCTTTGCACTCTTTAGTAGGAATGTCACCTTCACCTTGTGGTTCTTTGGCGTCATCTCCTGGCTCTGATAACGCCTTTTTGAACAACAACGATCTTTTGATGCCTCCAAGTGTGGACCATTTCAGGCGATCGTCTGATAGTACTTGCATTTTGAAAGGCCCGGATGTTGCAGAAAGGATAAACCTTGCAGAAGAAATAAGAAAATTGTCAGACAAGTTATTCCAACTATCCAACATGTCGACCTCTGTTACTAATGACTCCTTCGACGAACTTTCCTTACCCACAATAATCCCCAAGAAGGTTAACAAAGAACCAACAATAATAAATCATTCCCCTGTCGAAAGAAGCATCCCCATCAAAATCGAATCGAAAGTCCACAATGGACTTCCAAGAGACCACCCTGAAAGCCCCAATTGTGGAGTTCCTTGGAGGCGAACCAAATACCGTTTAAACTACATGAGTAGAGATGTCCCCCTCATAGCTAAAAACTCACAAACTAGTTTTCAAAATCAATTCGAGAAAAGTTTTAATGAGACTTCGAGTATAGACAGTACGAAAAATCTTCTTTTAAGACTACTAGAACAATGGGATGGTCCCCATGGCCCTGCACGACCCAATGCAAGACATGGATCTATTTCAACAGAGTGGAGTGAAAATGATACTCTAGGTCAAAGATCGATCAGCTCGTTAAATAATTTTTTCCAATCAAGAGCCACCAGTAAAAAAATTACAACGTTTCATAGTCATAATCAATAATTTATTTTTCTTTTACTAACGCTTGCATTTTGTTTTTGGCTGTTTTGCTTTAAGCCGAATTTGAGGCTTTCGGCGATAAGATTTTTGTTCGATGTTGTCTTTTTGTAAATGTTTGCTTTGTGACTGGATTTTGTAAGAGGTTCTGTTTGATGTAATGTCACAAAATTCGACAAACAGGATATTTAAAATTTATATATAGAAGAACTTTTAGTACGTGTGTTACATGTAAACAGAATTTCTGATTTAGATCGATATTTAGCTTATAAGCTTAGTGAAAATACGCATTTTACAATTTTCAATGCTTTTATTGGGACCAGCGAAGTATCTTAAAGTTACAATTATGTTGAATTGTGTATGTATGTCATCGTTAAAATAAAAAAGCCAAACGTTTTGTTTACTCATTATTATGAAATCCATTTTTTTTTCATTTGCATATTTTTAAAAAATATGAATTTAGTATCTAAGTGCCGCAACCAACAATACACATCACATTATACTTGCCACAAACTGTACACATGAATTTGCCTCGCAAAATAAGAATAATAAATGCGCTCACACATCTCAACAAATGAAAATAAATGCACTTTAAACATTCATTTCCAAACTCCGGACTATTTCTGTATCATTTTATTGCGCACAAACAATAGTTACAAATTTGGTTTTTAGAGAAAGAATGACAACCCAAGAGGCCCTGGATCACCCCTGGCTCTCTGCATTGACCATTCACCCTGAAATGGAGCTCAGTAAATCAAAACTGAAGAGATACGTTATTAAAAAACGTTGGATCAAAGCCGTAAACACGATAATAGCTTTACGACGAATGGGTGCAAAAATCCACACCGAATTGGTGTAAAAACCCCTCTTTGGTATTCATTTTACAAACAAATCTAGTCATGAAAAGAATTCCCGATCAATTTTAACCCTCTCATTTTATTTTTGAGTTGTATTAATTGATGTATATTTTCTGATTTAATAAAACACTTTCATTGTTTCAATTAAATTTTATTAGAAATAATTGTGTATCTTAGCTTGACACAAAATTTTAACTTAACGGTAAGATTTCTGGTAGCGAGCGCGGGCTCCTGGACCACCGAATTTCTTAGGTTCACAACGACGTGGATCTGCTACCAGCAAAGTGCGGTCGTATTGAATCAAAATGTCTTTCAATTCTTTTTTCGACGCTTCATCAACATCTACAAGATTTGTTTTAATACAAGTTATGAATAAATGTACAAACTTTACATTTTTGGTAATAGGCTACCAAAGCTTTAGAAATCGCTTGTCTGATGGCATAAATCTGAGACACGTGACCACCACCGTTAACACGAACTCTGATATCAACAGCTGAAAATTTATCCTACAAAAACATTAAAAATTTAAATAACATCCTGGTGCAGAGTAACAATTTTTGAAGCAATTTTGAAGTCAGACGAAGTATTTTTCATTTGAAATACCATCAATTTCGGGATAAATAATCATCACCAGATGATTATAGATCTAAAGAGGTCTCAAAACTCAATTACCTTGCCAAGAAGTAAAATTGGTTCTTGCAACTTGTCTTGAAGCATTTTAGGTTCAACCTGGCTCAAAGGACGGCCATTTACCCTCAAAATACCTTTGCCACGTTTGCAATAAGCAACAGCAGTAGCAGATTTCTAAAAATTGTAAAATTTTAATGTATACACGTGTGTGCTTATAGGTTATGTTAAAAGACTTACTTTGCGCCCAAAAACTTGGACTGAGTGGATTGGCTCCTTCTTTTGCTAAAATAAGAATAAGAATTGTTTAAAAAATTCAATTTTAATGTAATTTTCACTGAATTACCTTCGATAAGTTCGGATTCATGTTGTCAATTTTCGGAACAACTCGAAAAGGAAGTTAATGGCGGCAAATGACAGTTGACAAAATCACTAAGTTAGTCAAAATAGTTTTCGATGATTTTCTTATTGCAAAAAACACCATAAAAACCCCAAACATGGTCCTAGGTAATAGCCAAAAAGCGATCAATATTTTTTCTGATAAACCACATTACGAATGTGTTCACATAACGTTCATTTCAAAGTTTCTAAACTAATTACAATTGGTTATTTGAACGGATGTTCATGTATGTAAAACCGCGCTCAACTTGAATATAAAAAATAATACAATAAGTTGTGATAAAATAACTTTATTTCTGTACATATACAAGACAAATAATAAAATTCACAATAAATTTTATGATTAATTAATACAACATATAATTAATATAACAGCATATTTTATGTATGTTTATTTCACTGGTTTTATTTATTTGCTTTGTGAAAATCTCAAGTGGAGAAGATTTCTAACCATTGCCGGGCCATTCCACCACCCATTTAACATTAAATTCCAATATAACGGTGGCATCAACATTTTTTTCATGAGATACATACTCCACAACTCCCTTCCTTGATTAAAAGGGAACGTTTCCAATGGAGCTAAATTATAATCGAATTCGGCCAAAATACAAGTGTTATAACCAGTCACTAAAGGACAAGACGCATAACCATCATATGTTGAAACGGGAGTTTTCCCGTCCATAACTGATTTCATATTTTTAAAGACCACTTGACATTGGGCAGCTAGAAATCCCATATTAAGATTAAAACATCAAGTTTTGCCTAGGAATACCTGCAGCTGCTGCCGTTTTTGAATTAGGGCTTGAACTACAATCACCAATTGCAAAAACATTAGAAAATTTAGTACTCTGTAAAGTCGATTTGTCCACATCGACAAAACCTGCCTCATTTGTTAAGTTACGACAGTTTTTTAACGCCGGAGGAGTGCTCATAGGTGGTGTTACATGTAACATCGAGTACTAGAAATTCAGCATAAAAAGGTGAAAACCTATCACCAATTTACCTGATAAGTTGTAAGTTCCTCAGGTTTATCCAAATTTTGGAAAACCGCCTCTCTTTTGTCTGGCCTAACTTCAATTAAATTTGTTCTTAAATTGACATTTATGTTGCGTTCCTCACACACTTTCCAAAGTGCATCAGCGTATTTTTTTACGCCGAAAATAACAGGAAGTGACGTGTTGTACATTATGTTAGCCTTATCTCGTTTTCCCACTTTTCTTAGGAAGTGATCTGTGATGTAACAAATTTTCTGAGGCGCCCCTGGACATTTAACTGGAGTATTGGGAAATGTAAAAATAGCATTTCCACTTTCAAACTTTTGTAATGCTTTATACGTCCCTTCAACGTACTTTGCTGAATAATTAGAGCACACCCCTGTATCGCTATTTAAACCAGCAACTAAACCTGGAATCTACATAAAAAATTCAAAGTCTCTTATTTACTCTGTAACAAACTTTATCATAATCGGTCTGAATACCAGTGGCGACTAAAAGAAACTCGTATTGGATTGTGTCCCCATTCTGTGTTACAACAGAATTTGATTGGGGGTTAAATTCAGCGGCAGTGTCTTTTAACCAAACAGCATTTTTTGGGAGCACCTCTTTTGTATCTTTTCTTGCGTCTGAGAGATTAGAAATGCCGCCGCCAATTAATGTAAACAGAGGTTGATAGTAGTGATTGTCGCTGGGTTCTAGAATTATAAGTTCATTCTTTTTGATTATTTTACTGAATTTTGCAGCCGTGGCGCAGCCGCCGGTTCCTCCACCCACAACTA